GCTCGAATGTCTGTAGGATGTCCATGGCCTGGCCCAACGTAAGCTGTGAACCTTTCATGAGCAGCTTCTGTCTTAGCTCCACGCTTCGTATTCCGTCGACGACTTTATCCCGCAGCGCTGCCTCAAGAAAGTCCCCGAAGTCGCAAGTACTCGAGAGCTGTCGCAGGGCACTGACGTACGCGCGTATCGGTTCTTCCTGAAGCTGTCGCCGCAACATGAATCGCCGTCGTTCGACAAGCACATTCAGAGTGTTCGTGAAATGTCGTTCCAACAACCGGAGTGCATCGGTGTAGTCGTCCGGCTCACCCCCTTTTGATGTGGTCTTCTCCGGCGTACTTCCAGTTGCAGCAGCAGTTATCGGTGGTGCAGCCGCAGGCTCTGGAACCAACGTCCGAAACACTCTTCGACCTTCCACCCCCAAACACTGTAGAAGTATCGCCTTTCGTTGTGCTGGCGGTTTCGCGTCCATTTCCGTCGCCTGCAGAAAGATCTCGAAGTCCTCTCGCCATTGCCGCCATGGCACTGCCGGGTCTCCCGGCGCCTCCAAAAACGAGGCTAACGATGGCAGCCCGAACGTATTCATCTTTGCGTTAATGGGTAACGCCCCTCGCGTACTAGTTGCGAAAAACGGCTGTCATCTTGACTGCTGCCGAGGTTGTGATCCTGTCGACTGCGCCAATGTGATGTAGACTGGCGAACGCGGCTGGAAGGCCGCAGAACAAGAACTGACACGAGGCAGGCACTGGACGCTGACTGATCTTTATGCCGATGGTGATGCTCTTATATACAATTGGTAATGCATGAGTTCAGCGCCCTCTATACACAACAGTAAGTATAAAGAAACAATTGTTACAAGGCGGTCCAGAAGGAGACGTACTGCAACAGCTTCCAGTGGCGTGCAGAGGGGAACTTGAGAGCAAGCAACTCCACTCTGCACGACCACTGCAACACCACCTGAAGGGGGGGAGAAGAGGGGCAATCTTTTCTAAAAACCTGATGACGTCTTAAAATGTTAAATGAATGAGAGTGAAGATGGGCTTCTTGCAAGGCGAGAGCGATGGGCCGAAGCTGATCCATAAAATAATTAACATCATCAATATTTCTTAAATTACCGCGACAGTTCCATTGCATAAAATGTAACTTAGTCGTCTATAAAAGGTATGTAAATATGCAACTGAAAAATAAACCTAGTAAAATAAGTAAGACTGTAGATTCAATACAAACTAAGTGAAAGGCATTGGGATCCTCATTTGAGTGGGACTACAGGCTTCTTATTCTTTTTGTTTACTGGAGGGCGTTTCCCACTCCAGAATGTCCTAGTCGGACCCAGGAGTGGAAAGATTGTCAGCATCTGTCGACTTCTCCACCTCCTGAGAGGTATCCGTTGTTTTTAGAACAGGTCCGCCCAAGTGTGCGGAGGGGCAAACCCCAACCACGATCGGCTGGGGGGGTTGCAGACGAACTGGGCGTCGGGTCGTCTGAGCTCGTCTGGTCCTTTCCCAGGAGCTGCATGGGCACCATGCTTCACCTTCGGTAGGGGGCCCTCTCTAGCGAGCAACAGCGAGAAGCTCGCTCCGTCTCCCCAGGGGGCAACCTACGAGAGGTGGCAAGCGCGGCTGCTGCCGGCCTGTCCCTGGAAGGAGGAGCAGCACGCGTGCTACCACCAGAGACTGGAGGAAGCAGCCGCTGCTCCTGTCGGGGAGCTGGGGCCCTGTAGTCGGCCGGCAAGATCTCGGGAGAGACCTGGGTGGCCCTTGACTCCGAGCGGGGTGCAGGGCCCCTGTGCACCACCTCGGCAAAACTCCCCTTTGACAAAAAGGAGAACGGCCTCTTGGCTTCTGGGTATAATATGTTTTCCTTTACTTTGATGGTAAGAATGTCCTTTTCTAGCTTCCAAGAGGAACATGCATGATAATAAGCAGGATGTGGTCCACCGCAATCAGCGCAGTGGGCCACAGTTGCCTCGCAAGTATCGGAAACGTGACCTTGACTACCGCACTTCGCGCACGTCTCCTTCCCTCGACAGCTGCGTGTTCCATGACCAAAACGCTGGCAACGGAAGCATCGCTGGGGGTTGGGGACGTAAGGGCGGATGCGGCAGTACAAGTATCCTGCCTCGATTGTTTTGGGGAGAGTGTGCCTTTCAAAAGTCAGGATAACATGTCTCGAAGGGATTTGTTCGCCATCTTTCCTAAACATAATGCGTTTTACGGCGACGACACTGGCATCTTGGAGTCCCTCGAGGAGTTCTTCCTCACTAGTGTGCAAGAAGTCGTCCTCGGAGAGGACTCCACGGACAGGATTTAGTGTGCGATGAGGGCTCACCGACACTTTCACGTCAACGATGGTAGCCAGTTTAAGGAGTGCGTCACTTTGTTTTTTTGTATTCACTTCCACGAGAAGGTCTCCAGTGTGCTGTTTTTTGCCTTGAAGGAAAACCCTACAAGGTTTTCTAGCACCTTTGCTACAATAAAAGGTGGCAGCTTCAAAACAGGCTTTTGTTCATCCAGCAAATGAACGATGAAAAACTTTGTAAATGTTTGTGCTTCACATTCTTTGTTGATGGTTTTTTGTTCGAGGCAGCACCTTTTAAATGCATGACCGGAACGGGGTTTAGGGGCTGGCGCACCATAAGAGGGCAAAGAGTGTACAGAATCCGCGGTGCACCGCCCAGCACCGAGCCCAACAAGGGGTTAGGTAACGCACCATAACAAGAAGGGCTTGGCTGGAGACGTTACACTAACAGTGCTGCCGGCAAACTATACCCAAGTGTGGGTCAAGACAGAGGTCCATTGCCACCCAAGGTTAGCCCTTGCTGCCAAAGAGGGTTGAAAAAGGAGCAAGAGAAATGAGAGAGAAGTAAAAGAAACAGGAAAGGTAAAAGTGAAAGATCGGAGGGGTTAGTAGAAGAAAAGGCAACTAGACTGAATCATCCTGGCCGGGCCTTACCAGGACTCCAGTCTACGAGAAGCGGGAACCGAAGTGGTGTATTGCCTCCCCCGGGGGGCCCCCCAAGGGTCCGAACCTACCCCGGGCTCTGCTCAACCACCAGGGTGCCCTTTTCCCCGGACACGGGAAAGCCACGCACAGCCAGACGTGGGCGGGCGAACCTGCATGGCTCGGGGTCCGTGGAGACGCCACTCTCCAAACACCTGCTTTCACAGGTGCCCCCTGCGGGGGGTCGGGAACAGGGAAACCTACAGGTAAGGCCTTCAAACACAGGGTGGTGTCGGGTATTCGAAACACTAACACATGGGTCGGTTTCCATCTAAATCATTTTGCATAACCGAATACTTACATACAGAGCTCCGTTTAAGTTTGGAATGAGGCAAGCGGGCATCAGATTTTGGTGCAGAAATTGGCCTCTAATTCTAAGAATAAGAATTCTAATTCCGCGCTGGCGGAACATGCTCAGAAGACCGGCCACGCCATTGGCTTTGACGGCAGCTCCATCCTCGACACAGAAAGAAACTGGAGAAAGCGGCTCTTAATAGAATCTTGGCACATACAAAATACAAGCAACAACCTGAACCGAGCCACCGGAACGCTTCCAAGCAGCTATATACACGGGCTAAAATGCGCCACACACAGGAACAGAAGAAGAAAACAAAGCTAAGAGAGAAGAGAAGAAAACGACGACAGGTTGCTACCCTTGGGCCCATATACAGTCACCCGTGAACAAGGAGCCGAGCTGGCTTCGAAACGTCGGGCACATTGAAGAAATTGGTTAGAGTCTACGTTGTACTTTTTCTTATTACTTACCTAACCAGGCGGAGTTCCGCCGAAATGTTTACATTTAATTCTAAGAAGGTCATCCGAGGTTGGAATTGGTAAGTGCAGTGAGGAGTCCACATTGTGTGCAATTCATTATTGTAAGAGATGGTACAGTTTATTCTACCATGGGCAGATATGATCTGCATGCAGAACATTGTAGGCCAAGCTCATGTAATTTATTGTGGGCAACTCCAAATGAAGCATCATTACACTGTGCTTCGGTGGAAACAGCAATAAAAGGCAGGTTGTGGCCTTTTCATCCTCGCAGTGCCCACACAGCAGGTGCACCTGCGGACAGTGCGTGCGTGGGGGCAGCCTGACATGTTCTACATTACATGGTGCATGGTAGTGCACCTGCTGTGTGGGTGTTGGAGGGGGGCGCGTCAACATCACGGCCCACCTGCTGCTGTGACAGTACTTCATAAACCCAAGTTCAATCTGGATTCTCTATTCCTCGTACAGGTATGTTGCATACCACCAGTTTGTAAGGTGGATTTGGTGCCACCTTGGGAGGCACAACAGGAAGATCCTGCCTGCCTGTGTAGTAAAGGCCATTAGGAATACCTATCCATCAGAAAAATACTGTGGCTTTAGATATCCTGCCCTGTAGGCCTTACATGTTCTCAGTCACCCCAGTGCAATATTGCTGTGCGCAGGGCCGAACAAGCAGCGCTTGGTCACGGAACTCCAGAAGATTTGCGTTTATTCTTACTCGGGCGTAACTTTTATCATTTCGTCCTGTTCTCCAAAGTGCCTGTTCATTCTCACCCTGAACACAAGGTGCTCGAACCTTCTGGACCGAATTTTCGCGATGCCGACGAACATTAAAAAAGGAGCTGCCCGTGACCTTGTCGAGTCGGTCTCGCTTCCTGTTACGCCGCCAAATTGCCGCCTGCTTTTCTGCTGTCTCGACGCTCATTCTTTATTTTGTTTGACACAAGTTCGCTGATTAAACCGTTCTTTTCAGTTCATAATTTACCGTCTCTTGGCCTTACTCCGTGACAATACGCGCTTTGGAAGACGACGGGGTTTAGGGTTCCCCAGAGATTTCGCTGTGTTGAGTGGTGCAGCAGCTGCCCAGATTTTGGTTCACCTCATCCACCTCCACCAACCCGGGCAAGAAGTACTAGTTTATGGAACTATTCTGAGCTGGATCCAACATGTCCCAGCGTGGAGTAGTTCTCTAAACCAGTGCATTGATTTTTGCGTGAGACTGACTGCAATATCAGATAGTGAGGCACACCTTACGCCAATATGTGCTATTCTTTTAAAGCATTGTGTGTTCTAACATGCTGAATAAAAAAAATTGCAAGTTGACGTGTCAAGTAATTTTTATTCTCCAAGTAAACATATTTTGTATGAAATCAAATGGCTTCAGGAAAGCCTCAGAATGGTAGCCTGTATGCCCTTCTGCTTCAGCTTGGTGAAGCCACAAACAAATGCCACCTTCTCCATGGCGTTGCCTTCCGTCACCTCATCCGACTGGTCACAACGTGTATGCATTAATTTCTTCCAACAGACAATGTACTGCAGCATCAATGCAAGGCCTCCATAAATGCAATCAGATTTAAAGCAGATAGGAACAGTGGTTGTAAACAAGAGGCAAATCAGTTTTACAATAATTTAGTTTGCCTCAGTTAATAAATGTTACCTCGCCAACTTGCACTTGCTCAACATGGATGACCTTCCTGGTGACTGCCTCGTGGAAGCTGTAGGTGCAGTACTTTGCGCTGAATCCTGGCGAATCGCAGCGTCCATCCCAGCAAGGGCAATGCTCTTGCCTCGGAGACCTTGCAGAAGCTCAGTGTTCTGCTGCGTCCCGCACCTCACTCGATGACCTGACAAAGCCAACTGAAGCCTAGCGCACCCATGGTCATATAAGCCGTGTTCCAAAATGCGCTCCAACTTTAGGAGTAGAGGTTTCGTACCTTGGCTTTTGAAAATCTACCCTCGTTTTACGCTACTGCTCTAAGTTGTCACGTGGTAACCCGCCGGAGTAACCTAAACCTACTCTTGAGTAACTCGCAATGACACACGCGTGATGATTATAGCAATAAGGCGGCATTAAAAAAAAAAAAAAAAAAATTACGGTGGACATTTTTTGGGAGATTTGAGATCGCGTCCATACAATCGGGAGATGTGATCAAAATTCGGGAGGCTCCCGGAAAATTCGGGAGAGTTGGCAGGTATGCAATTCACAGCAGGCATCGGATTACCAGTCTGACACTTGTTGTAGGTGCGCTCCGAGATGGCTTGAATGCTGACGGACTTGTTGCTCCTCAAGATGGTCGCAGGAGAAGCAGCTCCGAAGAGAATGGCTGCGCAAATGCAAACATTGCCTGTTGCTTTGCCACTTACCTTTGGCTGGCACCACCATGTCTCCTGTTGACAATCAGTAGTGTGCCGACAACATCTCTGGTGTTGCAGCAAGGGGCATAGCACTTGCGGCACACCATGAAACGCTCCAAGAGGCACCCTTCAAAAACAATGAACTTCCGCTTACGCAGTCACTGTCGTCACTGAAAATATAAATAAAACTGTAACATATACCGGAGGTTATTTGAAAGTACAGTATAGACCACTTACAACGTAACCGCTTATAGTGCAGGACCGGGTATAAAGCGGTTTTTTTAAACCACCGGTTCACCTCCCATTAAACTCCATGTAATTACATACCGCTTAAAATGCAGACGCGCGAAGGGAAATACCGGTTATAGTGCAGTTTTTAGCACAGCCCGCCGACCGCGCCGACGACCGGAGCAGCGAGCTCGCTTCCCTGTGCGACACTAGATAACGGCGCTGACGGCGCGAGCCACAAGCTGCACTCGCGGAGCAAGGAGGTCGCTCGAAAACGCGGGGAGAAGCGAAGAGAGAGGCTTCAGTTGCCATAGCGACAGAGGGACGCACGCACGAGTCGTTCACGTACGTGCGTCCCTCCGCTGCGTTGGAAACAAAGAAACAAACAACCGCAACGACAGACCAATCGCAGGTCGAGGAGAAGTGTTCGCGCGTTGCATGCCGGTCGCGGGCCGGCTGCTTCTATTCCGCAAACATGGCGTCGGTTGTGATCGTCGTCGTAGACGGCGTGCATCTCATCGTTCTGCGTAAAAGCGCTATCCTTGACTGTGAATTTTCATTGTGTGTCGCTATCATAACCCAGCACGTGCTAGAAGGGAAGATCCACCTACTCGTGCGGTGATGTCGTGGCAGCACTCTCAAGGCGGCAGAAACGCCCGTGTCGTCGTGTTTGTTTACTTCGACTACAGTGGTGATTTCTAAGCATTTGTGTCCTCGAACATCGCCCGGATTTCTTATTTGGTGCATTTCATGCATGTGCTAAAGTTCAAGGTATTACTGGTGCGTACCGTATGAAGGATGCGAATTTTCACGCGTTTTCATCTCCGGAGAAAAGTGATTAGGGTTAGCAATCCTGAACGCTCGTAACGTCCGTCCGCAACCCGCAACGCCGTTAAAAGGCTGCGCCAGGCAAAAGCCGCTCATTTCTTTCAAAATGTGTGACACACTTGAGACAGAAGTTTTGGACAAGAGTGTGGCTTCACGGCAGTACACGGCGAGCCGCTTGGTCGGTAGGGACGTAGATTCCCCAGAATCCCTCTTAGCTGTTGCTTCCTAGGTACTTCCTCCCGTCTCCTTGTTTATCTTCTTTTTTGGAGTTGCCATCTTTGCATTATCTACGCCAGAGTTGCCACTCCTACTGATTTATCAGCAGATCTACTGATATTTTTCAAAATTCTGCTGATTCAGTGATAATACCACAAAATCTACTGATTTTTCTCCTTTTTGCCTACACGTGGTCTAAAACTACCACTATTGGCTCCAAGGCGCACCCTCGAGTAATTTCGGCGCACTTCGGTGGGTCATTTCCATCCTCCCTGGTCATTTCACGTGTGTGCGTGTGTGTCTGGGTAGGCGTTGTAAAAAGGAATGAGGAGGAAAAGCAGAATTTATTGCCTATTTTTTTGCCTTCAAGTACACAATTCTTTGCTCAAAGAACTTGACGGCCTCTCCGGCATATTTTCCCTGACTGGGCTCGCTTTTTAACAATATTCCTGACAATTCCCCGATTTTTCCCGGTAATTAAAATTTCCCAGACAATTCCAGGTTTTCCCAGGAATTGCTTCTTTAAGAACTGCTGCTGCTTGACATCAGGTACTATCGCGGCCGGTATCAGCTGAAACGGCACGTGTGGCGCTATCAGCGCCACCTGGCACATTGCTTCGTAAACACTGGCACCAACTGATGCAGAGACAAATCTCCTCGTGTGCTCGTGCCACAGCGCACTTCCGGCTGTCTTATAGCGCGACGGCAGGTGCGGTATTGAGTGCGAAGGTGACAAGGTCACACCTGTCATTCTCCAGAAATATGAACCAAGATCTGAGCGTGAGCCACTCATCGCAAACTGATGGTTGCAAAAATCGAGGCTCTGCACAAAAGTACCGCAGAGCTTGGTTTGATTAAATTTTGCAAACGGTTTCATGTATAACTCTCGCCATTCAAGAGAACCAAGGACTGCGCTGTAAAACCCAGGGCTACAGGTTTCTCTCGATCCCCACACCTGCCTGTTGTCATATGGGGTGAGCACTATACCGGCAGGCCGTGAGTCACTGCTGTGTAATGCCTGTTAAAGGATTCCCTAGCTAAACCTCTCATTTCCAATGCAGCGGCAGAAATGCCGGTTCTGAGGGGTGTTAATGAATGTTCCAGAAAGGCCTAATCTGTTTGCAGAAGAAAGTTAAATTCACTCAAGTAAAAAGGGCGCAAGTTGGTAAATAACAATTTAATCTGTCCCTTCACTGGCAAAGATGCAGAGGGAAATTATCTAAGAATAAAGCGCGAAACACATGTACAACGAAAACCTTCCGATCCGACGTGCGGACTGCCGGAATGGCCTTGGGGGGAGAGGGTTTTCGTAGCATCGGAGAGCGTTGAAAACCCTCGCCTCCGACCGTCGTTTTGCGCGGTCGGACGTCGGATCGGACGGTTTCGTCGTACATGTGTTTCGCGCTTAAGGCCTTCACAAGTGTCTATAGACAATGGGTTACATGGTGCACCCATCGTGACGGGGATTAGAACGGCGTAACGAACACACGAGTAGACGTGTCTCAACCCCAGCGTGCGCAAGCGTTTGCCCAGTGATACGACAAACAGCACTAATAGTCCCGAGCGGAAGGTGTCACGGCGTTTCAGCTCATATTCGCTGTAATAGTACACAATATTCCTCTGCAACCACAGCCCATTGTGGCTCGGTGGAGAAAATTGATAAGTGCAGCCGTAAACAAAGCTACGTCTGTGACGACAGCCAAAGCGATCTTCAGTAAACGGAGGTAAAAAAAGACTACCTCAATTTCTGCATGTTGACAACAAGCATGACAATGTTAGAAACAATTGAAAATTATTTAACTGAGTTACTAAAGATTGTTGAATACGTACAAACATCACCTTACCCTTTAATAATTAGAGCGATTCCTTGTAGGTGTTAAGTATTGTAATACTCTGTGCAGATGTCCGTGATTGGAACATTCTTCCGTCAGGTCTGTCATTATCATAAGAAATGGTGCCATTCTTCACATGCAAGCAACCTTTATGCATATACTTCATTTTGTATTTACTGAATAAAGAGCACTCAAAGTGGTCAACATGAAGTCATATTGATGACCGCAAATAAATGGTAGAGTCTAGCGTGTTGGGAGCAAGGAGAAACAACTTACTGCCCACGGCTGCCAGCTTGTCAGGAGTCAGTGCCTTCTTCGGAGCTGCTCGCTTCAGCCACCTGCAGGGCTGCCCCACCACGCTTCGGCGCTCCAGGTTTACAGCACCGAAAACCGCTTCGTCGCCCCATCGCAGAATATTGAATCTTGAGCTACATTAAAATAAAGGAGATGTAATGCTACAAATATCTTTTTGGGGCAGTTGGACCATCATAGATGGGTGATAAAAATTTTAATAATGAGTCCCCAGCAAAAAAAAAATGTATGAATTTTATCACGGTAACATTCAAACTGGATTATCAAACCAGGAATCTTACTTTAAACTACGCATACCATGGAGGCTTGCCAAAATTAAAGATAGTCTCGCTATTAGCCTAGTGATTATTTTCTGGATACAGGATTGTAGGTTCTGAGAGACATGAAAAAACTGCACTTTCTTAAGCAGTTGCAGTCATGCGGTGGACACTGTCCAAGAATATCCAATGCATTATGGGCGGGCCTTCATTTTCGAACAAGCTCCGATACTGTCACGAATGACAAATGATGAGGCGGCAAATAACTGAGGAACTAAACGTTTAATCCGGCGAACTTGCGTTCAAAACAATATAGAAGAAGCTTAGCGTCGCAGGCGTCGATGTCAGTAAAACAGCACAGTCAAACGCTGGGGCGAGACTAACATGCTAAGATACTTACGTCTTGCCCTGTTTGCTCTTCCTCCTACGATTCCCGACAACTTCACTAATGTCAGCGCGTAAAACTACACTCGCAATCGAACAGCACATGTCTCACATTTTCACAGCCTGTCAAAGGTTTTCTTTTTTTCTAGTACAAAGTGAACAAGTAAAAAAAAATAATAATAATAATAAAAATAATTATAAAATAATAATAATAATAATAAATGTCAAAAGCCATAGAGTTATTATAATGCACGCTAGAGGTTCAACTGGCGCTAGTGTGCTGTTGCAAATTGAAGCAGACAGCAAGCAGTCCGAAATTGACTTCCGGTAATGCATTTCTACGGAAAAAAGCGAGTGCATTTCCTCTCTGCGCTCGATTATAAGAGCAAATATCAAGAATAATTCGTAAGTACTAGGCACATTAGAACATTTCCCAGACACGCAGATTAAATAATTGGTCAGTTACGGCGTTTTTATTTGATATTCGTCGCATGAAAAACGGTGCTAAAACCGCTTCGTACATGTATTTATGTGCACTGTCGGACACTGTTAGCGCGAACACGGCGCCGGCGCTTTACAGCATGGGGGTATATCGCCCCGAGATCGAACCGTGTCGCCACCGTGCGGCCGAAATTGGAAACGTGCGAAAGCGGGGATCCCGCCGTGCGTCGTCTGCTACGGGCGCACGCTCAGAAGCATGGATCTCGACGACACAAGCCCGTTTGAGGCTGAGCTTGACATTCCTTATTAAATGTTTTATGTTTTCGTTGCCGTTTCTTCTTACTAAAAGTTGTGTTGTATCGTTTCCCATGTGTAGAAATTCAGCAAAGCGATTACTATTAAGTCGGAAGCTTCCATAATCTTAGTGTGTTGGTTTGTATACAATCGCCAGTCCCACATGTTTTTTGTATCTCGCACAAACCGTGGCTTTCATAAAGCATCGAATGTTGAGTGGGTCTGCGGTTTGATTAGAAAAGTAACCCGACTGATCACTATCCTTAAATAGACTAATCAATCAATAAATCCGTATGTTGATTAACGTCTTTCACTCATATTGAGTGAAAGACGTTAAAACTACACATTTGTTTGCTGGTTTTACTATATGCCATAAATGACATATTGCATTCCCATTTTAAACTTCACGTTGTGAGTCCTACATAAATATGAACACGGGAAGCCTTTTAAAATGGAGTTTTTTTTTAAAGTTATTATTTAAACCATATAATCACCCTCGGCGAAATGACAAGCACGCTGAAGTGGTTTACCGTGCAAGCCTGTGTCACAAAACAAATAGAGACGTCAAAAATATTAATGCAGGCATTTTTTACTCCTTGTTGACTTTCTCCAGCACAAGACTCCAATTAACTGGCAAAAAAAATGCAATTAAAGCATTACTTGATTAATCTGAAAGTTAATCGATGAACTGTCCAGTTCCGATGTACGTTAGGTGAGGGCGGAGGGTGATCGGAAAGTCTCGTGAAGGTCGCTAGCCCTCATCAATAAAAGAGTATCACTGCGATTAATGCTGTCTGTGTTGTGGTGTGCGTTGTGTGTTTGGGTTGCAAAGTCTACCGTGTTTGAATACAAGATTATTTAGCCAGATATTTATAGTATTAGCCTTTTGACATCCGCGGCGCTCACCAAAAAAATTCAAGCGGGTGAACCCACACTACCGAGAAAACCATTTAATAATCGGAACATTGCTGCGTTGCTCGGTTACACTCTTTTATTACAGTCTCGGCAGATATATTAGAAAAGTTTGTTTCAGTTGTCCTGCCAACTGTGCAGCTTGCAGATCTTAACTAGAAGAGACACTGTCCCCTCATCGCAACGCATTCGATTTATCAGACACCAAAGAACCTACCCACACTATGGCACAGTAAAAGGGCAGAGGAACTTAATAGCATGGTAATTTCCATTACAGCGCTAACTTATCTTCATTCTTGATTATTATATTACTGCAAAAGCTAGAAGTTAAAAAAACAAAGCACAGAGGCTGCGATTTCACAGCCCACAACACCAGTATTTTGTTATCTGGGTTGGAATTTATTATTTTTTTTAATTCCCATGTTGATGAACCGATACATCCATTTTAAAATAAACAAATATTTAACATAAATATTCCAGTTCGGCCGGAGACAGGCATCAGTCGTGGTTATCCATGCTTTTTAACGTCTGCCTAGAGCAGACGACGCACACACAGAGGCGATTATAAAAATTTAGGCCGCACGCTGGCAACACGATTTGATCTTCACTGAAGCACCGAACAGTACCGCATCCTTTTCCGCTAGAATTGTTTTGCCACCGATAGTATGCGACAAAATAAACGCAAGAATCTACGCCGTCTCGCGCGCGAACGTGGAGAGCCTATGGGGCGGCCGTTCTCCTATCCCCGCTTTGATGATGATGATAGCGCGACCATAGCGCCACCTCTAGGTCGATCTCGAGGCCAATACGTGCCAAACGAACGAAGGACATGTGGAAAACCAAGAGAGCTACGGCAAGAACTACGCAGTAACACTGGATAAGTAACTCTTTGTGCTTGCAGATGATGAAAATAAATTGAAAGTTACGTAATATAGTCCGATTTGCAATAAATAAGTACTGCTTTATCCTTTCTGCTCATGAATACATGCGAAGATGCTTGTTCTGCGTTCAAATCATCACCCGCACGCTCCAAATCTTTGCAAATGGGGGAAGCCAGAGAACAGGTGCCCGATAAAAACTGCCCAACATAGGAAATAATAAGAAAATACACCTTTCGTAGCCCACATACTTTATTCTTTACGTTTGGAACGTTTTTTTTAACCCCTCGTAAAGGTGCACGCCGGGGTCATTTTTATATACTATATATATATTTATATATATATAGGACAGGCATATATTAGCAATATATAAGCACCAACGGAATGCTGCCGAACTTTAAACACACTCTACATTCCTTTCGATTGTTATTTTGCTTGGAATCGACGCTCGTTTCTACATACCTGCCATGAAACAGAGGTTTGGGCCTGAAATATAGCGAAGTTTAACATCGTTCAGTGGTAAGGAAAAATGCTGTAACTAAAGCAATTACACTTTCAAAATATTAATAAAGGTACATACTATCCGGTACAACCGAAATAACAAAAGTTATTAATGTTATTTTCCGGCGACGAGGATACCCGGACCAGGCGGATTTTTTCGGTCGCTCACCAGTCACCTAGCTGTGTTTGGAGATTTATGTTTGTCCCTTGTCCCTCTTGTTCCCCTTCTCCAGGGATTACTTTCATCATTATTGTCCAGCTCGCTTGCCCCTTTGCATTTAATTGCTCTATAATTATAACAAAATTCACGCGCGTTTTCCCATAGGAATACACAGGAAGACAGGAAAAGTAGACTGCATGCTGTCTGCTTCAATTTGCAACCGGAAGTCCCGTAGACACTAGCGCCAGCTGAGCCTCTAGCGTTTATTATAATAACTCTATGTCAAAAGCGGGATCCGAAACGTTTCCAGCGGACCTCGAGAGATTAGCGATAATAGAAACACAATTCAAAAGCTATTATACGATGGTTACACTCGGATCTGACTAACCGAGCTGCTTTCCGAATGATGCTCCTTGATCCGGCAAATAATGCAGGAAGGGAGCAGCTGCACGTTGTAAAAGAAATGGGATTGATTTCAGAGCTCACGTTCGAAACGATGAACCAACGGACACAACTTTTTGAGAACGAACAAACATTGCCGCCATTGCCGCCATTGCCGCCTGGGAGCCTGGGATTTCAAATTGATTTCCGGTATGACTTCCGGTTCTCTTGCCCTGCCATCTGATGAGAGCGAGAAAAGGTTCGAGAAATGTAACCGTAAATGCGTAACCAAAAATTTACATGCAACGAAATGCGAAAACCGTTAATAAAAAGTTATCATTATTACGTTTTCTGATGCGCAGTGTCACGCTCTGTTGACCGACCAAAAAAAAGTGGCGGCAAGCGCGGGAAGTTTAGCAGACGACAGTTGAGCGTCTCTTGGGAATCCCGCCCTGCGACCGCCACTCGACTGCCTCTCCACGAAAATGTCTTCCGAAGACCTGCCTCGTTTCAGCCTCATCCGAGAATACTTCTCGGATGAAGAATGGAACACCTTGTCATTCTACGTGAAGTCAAGAATGACCAATCTCAAGGAAAACTACGACCTTCTCCTACGAATGGGTGAGCGTTAGCAGAGCCTCTGAAAAAAGCGCGTCTGCGAATTTGGCGAAAGAGATGGCTGCGAAGAATATTTTGTGACATAAAAATATTTATTAGTATTCGATACGTTACATTAGGATACCAGGCCTGAACACCGGGTCCCCGGTATATTGTAGCCTCAGCACCGAGGTCCGCTGTGAAATGCAGATACTCGGCAGTGACAACGGCAAACCCTAACGGCAAACCCTCGTGAGGTTAAGTCTGTGATTATGCGAAGAGCAAGTCGCTTCTTCGGCAGCAGTTGCGGCGACCTCAGAACGACGCCTAGCCCTGATTGGCTCTGATGGAAGGATAGTGGGTAGACCTAGAGGCAGCTTGCTTTGAGGTCTATCCACTGTCCTTCATTCAGAGCCAATCAGAGCTCGGCGTTTTTCTGACGTCACCACAACCCCTGCAAAAGAAGCAGACGAACTTGCAATCTGCGTTGTTTCTTCACCCGACAACCAAATATTGCAGGCGCTACAAAGTGCCCCCCCCCCCCTTCCCCTCTTTCCAATAGCCCCTTAAAATTATATACATTTATTATACAAATTTTGTTTTGTTTTTTCTTAACAGAAAAATGAACTACGCATCGACGAGCGCTCGTTCTCCACACAAATGTAGCGCTAGTGGTCTGAACCAGATGCCAAAGTTTCAGAACTCTCCCCGTTATCTTATTCAAAAGTTAATAGCGATTTTCCGAAATTTAGAACGGGAAAATGGCTGCCGGTGGAGGTCTCGAACACATGGAGCTGAATGGCGTCAGTTACCGAAAATGGGCGCCATTTTCCAATCGAAATTATCAGAAAATCACTTATGACGTTTGAACGAGATGATTACTGATCTTAAACTTGGGTATCTGATTAGAACCTCTCGCGCTACATTTGGACGAAAAAAAAATTTTTTTTTTTTTTTGCTGGAAAAAAAGAAGGGGGGGGGGGGGGGGGGTTGCGTCATCTTCCAGGCACCGTGGCTTTAGGCAGTCGGCCTTTTGTAGCAGGAAAAACATTGATGATTTCGAGCAGCCACTGACGCTTTTGGAGCATATGCCAACATCTGTTATCCCATCACTAGAAAAAATAAAACGTGACTCCATCGCTAAATGCGTTTATATTTGATAATGATCGAGGGTTCCTCTTTGATGCTGAAGCATATTACCTACCTTTTTCTAATAAGAATAGGTAGGGCACAAAAAGAATTCACAGGGCCTTTTTTAGGAATAAGGTGGAGGTCACAGTAAGTTTCATTTACAATGAGCATTAAGAACATTGTTAGAAAATGAATCATGGCACAACATTTTATCGGTATAAAGACTCTTCCTTTCTCTTTTACACTCGGTAGTTTACTATGCCTATATGCATAATTTATGCAAAATCCCGGCAAATACCAGCCCATCTGTTAACATCCAGAATAACGTGGGATATATCATAGACTGAAGAAACAACCAGCATTAACACTGACACTGCTCTTTGGCGGCGTTGGAACCAGAGTTAGGTTGAAGTTTGCCGCTCTTTCGGTAGACGGGAACTACGTGTACTACCTCATCTATTCTGACATAGATCGGTGTTTCTTAATTTTTATCGGCACAGATCCTTAAAATGAGGGGTCGACCGAGGTTTAAGACAAAAAAGGTAGACCTGTAATAGTACCGAACATAAGTTCAGAGCCTATTTCACGCCAGACCAGGCGCTCCCCCGTGTCAGCCGCTGCTCCTAGCACTCCGGTGCAAAGCGGTGAAGCTTACCCTGGTGAGAGGCGCTGAAGGCTGAAGCGAGCTGCGCAAGTGTATTGGTGCACTGTAACCACGGCCTGGAGCCATATGCCTCACATGATAATGAAAGGGGCGATGCAACGATTTCTGTACCGCTTAGAACGAATACCTGACGTTAATGACCTATGAGACACTTTCTATTTTCACCCCATGCAACTGAAGTCGCAGAAAAAAACAAAAGAAAAACGAGCCTATGCAACTCGCAGCCAGAAGAAGCGGTCACGTGATCTGGAGCCGATTATATGCCGCTAGTGTTGATCACAGCCACGCGCTGGGGTTGGCGAAGCACAGGACACGCGCTGAGTTCCACAGGTTGTTGTGGTTCGTCTATCGTGGTCATTGCAGCGATTGGACACGGGCACTACCCGAACGATTGTCGATTCAGCTGTTAAATATCACGAGCCCAAATTGAGTACTCACGCAATGTTGGAGTCCAATCAATGAGCCGCATTAAAATGTCACCACTGTAGGGTACTGAGACACGTAAGCTGCGTCATCAAGTTTTCCGAAGGAGATATTGAAAGAAAACGCTTGCTTTTATCCTTAAAACTGCGCCGCAACAAAGGAGTTCCTTGGTCATTAACTCACTAGTGCCAGTAAGCTCGCGTAAAGTGAAAATTAATCCGAGCGAATATCGGTGCACGGCCCCTTCGAGTGCTCTAGCCACGAGTACAGGAACCTGGTACTGGCTTATCACAGGAGCCGCCATCGCGATTTGCTCTCTCTCGACTTTTAACTCTTGACATTATCGACATCGTCTGGAAATTTTGACGCTACCGGCGATCAACCGTCCCGCGCATCAACCGGCCAGCACAGTTCACGAGCAACCTTTATACTTCGTTTCGCCTTAAAACGCAAGCCGACGCTACGAACCAATAGGAACAATCAAACAACATCAAAGCGCGACATGGTGGCAATCGTCTGTACGTATTGTTTCGTGGGCAATACCAATAAAGTGCAGTGAATGGTAAGCAACATAATAAAACCGGAGACACGGAAACATGAAGGACACACACAACACCGTCCTGCTTAATATTCACCAGCTGGCCTCTTCCCCTAACTCTTGCAATGAGTGCCCCATGACTAGCGCTTTTAGTGTGTAGGGTTGTATGTGGTCGAGTTTTCGAACTCTGCTGTGCCCTAAGATGAGACGAAATATGCGGTAAGTAGAGACGCTGTAAAAAGCATATACGGGTGGATTTTTTTCAGAGCGCAGCTCTTAGGCGCCCATTTCCGACTTGAGCGGCGTCGCCGTCGGCGTAACCGCGCGTTGCGTCATGGGAAATGTCCCACAATGCACCGCGCGAGACCCTCGGGACATCACGATTAATGTCACGAGGGTCCCGCGCGGTGCATCATGGGACATTTCCTGTGGTGCAACGCGCGGGGAGAGGGAGGAGGGGGAGGATGACGAGGGGGAGTGGAGGTGGAGGAGGAGGGGCAGAGAAGGGATGATGGGAGGAGGAGGGATGAGAAGAAGGAGAGAGGGAGGAGGATGAGATAAGGGGAGGAGCTTGAAGGATGTTAGGAGGAGGACGAACAAGAGGAGGGGAGGAGGAGTAGCAGGGAGGATGAGGAGGAAAGGTATACCCTTTCCTCAGTGCCCTTTCCTCCTCTTCCTCAAGAGCTGCGCTCTAATTCGGTGTTAAGCGCGAGACACATGGACGGCACAATCTTCCGACCCGACAGTCCTACGCCGCTCCGAATTGTCGCACGCAACAGTTTGAAACACGTGCTTTTGACCTTGAATGCGACGCGACGATCCTTTCGGCGCCGCCCAGGAAATCTCTGGTCCCAGATTGACGGTTAGCTCGCACGAACGAAATTACGAGCTCGTTCTCGCTAGCGCGTGCATTCTTTGCTGGGGTCATCTTTCTCGAATGGGTCAGCGGGATTCACGCGCCCGGCTTCCCCTCGCCCGTCCTGCTATCGTGTTCGTCCCGCCAAACCCAGTACGTCATCATGACCTTCGCGCTAGCTGCGCTGCCATTGGCTGGACGCTTCCGACACTCCGTCCGTTGTGCGAAACTATCTGGCATGCTGGACGCACGCCGGATCGCCGATCGACGTCTGAAGCGACCGAACTTTTCGGATCAGGCAGTCGTATTGCCGGATCGGACGTCGGATCGGATGAATTTTTATCCCGCATGTGTCTCGCGCTTTACAGGGTGTCGAAAACGTCTTTCATTTTTAAATCCTCATTAAATTTTTAGAAAGAAGCCGTGAAAACTACACTTATGCGGTTTGTGCAGGTGAATAATAAGGCCTGGAGGACATAGTTTAGGGGGCTAATCGTAACAATCATTTGAATCATTAAGTAAAATTTTGTCATAACTTTTAGAGCACAGCTCTTAGGCGCCCGTTTCCGGCCTGAGCGGCGTCGGCGTCGCCGTCGCCGTCGGCGTAACCGCGCGGTGCATTATGAGTACATTTCCCCGAAGGAACCCGAGGCCCTCCCGAAGGAACCCGAGGTCCTTCGGGAGGACCTTGGGTTCCTTCGGGAGGACCTCGGGTTCCTTCGGGAGGACCTCGGAGGACCTTTGGTGACCTCGGGGAGGGGGTCACGTGACCCCCCCCCCCGAGGTCACGTGACCACACCCCGAGGTCATGTACCCCCCCCCCCCCCCGAGGTCACGTGACCTCCCCCCGAGAACACGTGACCCTCAGTACCCTTCCCTCCTCCTCCTCAAGAGCTGCGCTCTAATTCGGCGTTACAGGGAGTGGTAAACGGCTTTCATTTTTAATTAGGGAATCTATCCGTATGGTTTGAATT